TTTTATTTTAGATATTGGTGCCCAATGTGAGACCAGGACTTTTCTTAAGAGATACTCCCAAGATACAGCACCTAACCATATCAGCCCAGGACTTAAAAAAAAAAAAAAAACCTACAAAGATTCCATTTACTTTGTCTACTTGTAGGGTCTAATTTTAACACATACCTTACAGGTGTCCTAGTCATCTTTTTGATTAGAGTAAGCAAGTTTGATTACAAAAGCAAAAGTAAGAGTTATTCTTAGGGCCTAGTATCTTGCTGGAACAGCGGGTTTTACAATCAGGCAATTGAAGAATAATCTTCCGGGTCTGGGAAGGGAGGTGGACTGCTAGGCACTGCTCATGTAAGCCAGGGACTCACATGCGGAGGCATTTTTATCTTTCAGTTTCTCAAGCATAGCAAGCCTACACCTCTAATGGAACGGCCGCTAGCATGCTGGCTCCCCTATTTTTTGTTAGAATGCATGTATGCTCCTGCAAGAATGTTCAGGTCTGTGACCACTGCTACATATAACAGCTGAGACCACCCACATCATGCTTCAATGGTTTCCTACTGCTCCCATAAAAATAGAAGGCGGTCACAAGAACTAGGAAGATAAAATGTAAACAGAAGCATAAAGTTCTTGACCTTTTGACAAAAATTTTTTAAAAAATAAAAATTTAAATTCCTCCTTCTCATTCATATGTCTTTAGTCCCAGACGTAAGAAAAGGAAACAGAGGATGTGCACAGGCTGCCCGCAGATACTCAAGCTGCCTGTCACCTGTGAAGAGCCGCGCAGCTAAGAGCAGTAAAAGCTTCAAGCTGTTCCACACCATCCTTTGAGGCCTGACCTAAGGGACCGACTCCAGTAGTCTGCAGGCAGCTGGGTTTCTAGGAGCGTTCAGCCTCACTGCTGAGACTCTCAATAGAAGTGGCATTCTCTGATGTGGATAGCTCTGCTCTGGGAGCCGACCTAACAATAACATCACATAGCTTCCAGACAGGAAAGGACAGCATTCTGGCACCATTGACCCAGAGGAGGAGTGGACTTAGACTGAGGCCAGAGTGCAGCTTCCAACTCCCATCACAGTCAGTCTATGCCACGTACTGTCTTAAAGCAGGCTCAGCTTTGTCAAGAAAAATGCAATGACACAAATCAGCCACAAGATGGTGCTAGTACAACAATGCAATACCAGAAATGCCCCAAGCACACAACAGACCTTTGGAGTAGCATCCTGGTTCACCACACACTATTTCATTCTGTTCTCTATTCTTAGACGTAGCCAAACAGCTTATACATGTCGGTAATTTTTTTTTTTAAATAACAACAACAACAACTTGAAGGGTGTTTATTTATTTGTGTTTTGTTAGGAAACAATCTAAAATTTGAGGGGGCAAGAATCCAATAACCCTCAGCTCACTGTTTTCTCCTTTAGCTGGTTTGTTTTCTTTGAATATTCTCAACATCATGATCTTTGTGGGCTAACCTCATGTGTCTCCCTCCCCCACGTACTTAACTGCTGTCACTCGCTCACTCCTTCACCATCTACTCCACACATTTGTTACTGAAGCCCTAGGGAAGCTCATGCCAGTACTAAAAACATAAATCAAAAGAGCCACATAATACATGCATATTTTCAATCTCTCATACATGAAAGCAAAATACTGTGAATATTAAAAAACTGTTATAATGCCAGGCATGGCAAAATAACTAGCACTGGGAAACAGAGGCAGTGCATCTCTGCACTCAAGGCTAGTCTGGTCTAAATAGTGAGCTCTAGGTCCTAGAGGTATATAGTGAGCCCAACCCGTTCTCAAAAAATAAAAATATAAAAAGAGTAACTGAGTAAGGAAGTAAACAGCACCAGTGAAAGATGTTTGCAGACAGGGCAGAAGAAAGCTAAAGCTGTGAGTATATACATAAATGTGAATTAGCAAAATTTAGCAAAGGCCTAGGAGATTAAGTTCACAGTAGTCGGTTCTAGTTTTCTTTTTTTTTTTAATAATTTTTATTTTTTATATTAACCACAGGCTATTTACTTTGTATCCCAGCCATAGCCCACTCCCTCATTCCCTCCCAATTCCACCCTCCCTCCCTCATCTCCTCCCTGCCCCTCCCCAAGTCCACTGTTAGGAGAGGTCCTCCTCCCCTTCCATCTGACCCTAACTTATCAGGTATCTTCAGGATTGGCTGCAGTGTCCTCCTCTGTGGCCTAGCACGGCTGCTCCTCCCTTGCGGGGTGGGTATCAAAGAGCCAGCCAATGAGTTCATGTCAGAAATAGTCCCTGTTCCCCTTACTAGGGTACCCACTTGGATAGTAGAAAATATAACTGAAAAAGGAACACTCATCCAAAAATATAATTTCTAAATACCTAAAGTAAAGGAGTGTACTCATTATTAATTTCTTGTGGAAACAAAATAGATTAAACATTGAGTTAGGTGTTATAGTAAGCTATGGAAGTGAAGTACGTTAGCATCTAAAAAGATAAACAAGCAAAGATTGAAATGAAACTTGGTGTTCTGGGTTGAGGTCTGTCTCTTTCATATTTCCATGCTGAAACCCTAGTTGTCATTACGCAGCATGTGTGATGTATTAGAGAACAGTTTTCTAAGAGATAATTAAATTCCAGTGTGGCCACCAGTGTGTGCAGGAGATTCTGTAGACTAGAAGCAGCCACCCACAAAGAGAGAAGCCTTAAAATGCAGTGACCTCGACATACCTTTCCCAGCCTCCAGACTGTGGCTCTCTGTTAAGGTAGCTCTCCTAAAGGATACATCTATTGCTGGGTTTGGGGGAGTTTTCTTTGGGAGAACTTATAAGAAATAATACCTGCAAAAGTATTCCATAAAAACAGATAAGCAAATTAAAAATAAACCTTACAGATACTTTGCTGTCATCATTACTTATTACTGAACAGTAGTCTTAGAATTTCATAAGAATAACTTATTGACACATTCTGTTTTTAATCCACCCACATAGGGTACAAATTATAAAAGTCAGTACAATTTTCTTCCTACCTCACACTGCTATGAGAGAAGTAGTTTCGTAGTTTTACACTTTTGTAAAGTAGTTGAGTATCTGATCTAGTAGAGCACAGGAATTAAACACCGACATTCAGAACCAGCATCACCCCCTCCCCCAACGCTGCAGCCCCACTTGTGTCTTTTTTTAAAAAGGAGCACAGAGGCATTTACACCACAGTGACTTATGGTTTAGAACTTAACTGTCCCTCCCAAAGCCCACAAGTTAAGGCCACCACAAAGAGCACTGCTTTGCTTCAGCAGTCTCCACATCAAGATGTTCTATCTTCCCACAGGCCCAGGAGCAAGAGCCATAGATGCAGCCCTCTAAAACTCGGGGCCAAGTCATTAAGATATAAAATAGCATTTTCCTGGTCACACTGTCACAGTAGAAAGGTCCATTACAGACGTGTGCTGTCCAAATCAACGACTACGGAAGAACCACACACAGAAAGAGAGGATCCTTATAAATTCTTGACTCCCTATAAATGTGGGTCCCAGATTCACAAACATAGCATATTCATGATAAAACCTAATTGTGTCATTCTCACGTAAGAACCAATTTTTTCCTCACCTACATACTCTTTTACTTTAACTGTGAAGAGTATGTTGTGTATTCAAATCCTAGTTTGCTATGCCCATCTACACAAGAACAATTGTTATCATTCATTACTTTCTCCATCTCTTTATTGTTCATAGTATTTTCTCGATGTTTTTACCTGAATTCTACAACCGTGGTGAAATCAAAATGAAATAAAATTTACCACTTCAAGTCCTTTTAAGTGCTAGCTGAGCGGCACCAGACCAATTCATAGTACAGAGCTATAGAACCCTGTTTCTTGTACAAGGAAAGTCTACAACTTCAACAGCACTCAGTTCTCCCCACCCTCACCCTCAGGAAGAACCATTTCACTTTTGTTTCTGGGTCTGACCATTCTAGAAACCTCCCAAAAGTGCACATACACCCCACCTGTCTTCTGGGACTGACCTGTTTCCTTCTGCCTAATGTCCTCAGGATCTACTGTGCTGCATCCTATTCAGAAGGCTGGCGAGCCCCTCCTGTGCAGAGACAGGCAGCTGCCTGCTCACCCCGTAGGCAGACATGGCAGCCACTGCTGTGAAAATGCTGTAGATGTCAGTGAGACCACTTCTAGACTCTGATTTCCATGCTTACAGCTGTATAACTAGAAGTAGGACTTTTTTTTTTCTTTTGTCTTTTTTTTTTTTTTTAATTTTGGGTGTGTGGGGGGTGAGACAGGGTTTCTCTGTGTAGCCCTATCTGTCCTGAAACTAACTTATGTAGACCAGGCTAGCCTTGAATTAAGAGATCCACCTGCCTCTGCCTTCCAAGTGCTGGGATTAAAGCCATGCACCCACCATGCCTGGCTCAGAAGTAGGATTTGCTTAACTGTCTTTTCCACTGTCATTATTAATCATTTTAACATTATGCTTTTATATTTCTTTTAGTGAATTTCCTATAAAGTGTATAGAGTCTCTTACTGAACCCATTGCTCACCAATTGGGTAGCATGGCTGGCCAGCATCAAGGATCTGCCTGTCTCCATCCTAACCTCCCAATGCCAGTATTAGAGATACACACAACCTTGTCCATTTGTTCACATGACTGCTGGGTTTCCAAACTCGGGTCTTCAAGCTTGTATGGCATGCTTGTATGACCCACTGAGCACTCAGGCCTGTGAACTGTAAAGGCCTGAAAAACTGGGTCTTGAAATTCTAACCAATGCTAAATAGTAAGCACTATGTATATGAAAGGACTGTGTGATATGGACCTAGCTAAGAGCCATGTCCCCCAACCCCATCATTTGCTACCTCTAACACCTGTGAGCTCTCCAAGTCCTACACAAATCTGTTGATCATCTTTTGCAGAAGCCCTGGGACAACTCACTTAATTCTAACTAAGGCATGGGAGAAAACAATAAAGACATGTTTAAAGCACAGCTAACCACTCTAAGGAAGAGAGGGCACAGAACTGAACTCACAAAGTCTGTTTCTAGTTTTCCCATTTCTTGCTTGTAGCTTCTCATTCTGTTGCTGTACATTCCTCGACTTTGGGGCGGGATTTCTCGAACTTCCAAATCCATCTGTTCAAGCTAAAGTGGGAGAGAAAAATGTGAACCACAAGCATATTCTTTATTCGCCCAAATGTCAATGCTAAAAGGGCTGGATTCTAAGTCCTCAGTTTACAGCTGAGGAACCAGAGGTACAGCGCTGCCTGCTCATGATCAGTAGCACTGAAATTGCTTTAGCACTTACTTCCTGATTGGTTCAGGAAGCAGCTAGAGAATGATGGGGGTGCTAAGCTGTTTGCTTTGTCAAGAGTTTGTTTTGAAAAATCAAAACATTCTCGTTAATTTGTTCTCAGTATCCTTGGAACAGCCCTTGTTAAGTCAAACTGATCCGGTCTTTTGACCATGAATCTCCAGAATGACAGGGGACTGCTTCCTATGGCTTAGACATGAGAGGACATTTCTTTGAGAAACTCTTTCCTAATTAGGAAAATCACATGCAACCAGGCCTCCAGCCTAACTCTTAGACACTAACCACACCGATGAGGAGTTAAATGGATATAGCAATATGCTAGTTACACCTTGCTCACTGAAATCACAACAGGGCATGCTTTGCTCATCTGTCATCCTGTAATGATAGCACACAAGAGTTTAATGGGTGCCAACACAGTCGTGCAGTGATGGTTCAGAGCCCAGGCTTTGCAGTGAGACTCTGTTCACATTGTAGGCACCACAAGTAACCACCACGGGGACTGGCAGGGGGCTTGACTGCGGCGACCCTCTGCCTTATTTTCCTCACTTCTAAGAAAAATCTCTTTCCTAGGACAGCCATGAAAATTAGCTGAGTAATCCCTCTAATGGGCTTAAGGTACTCTCTCATTAGATTGATAGGAGACTATACTAATGGTTACAAAGAAATAGACCGCGCTCTCTAGGACTCAGCAGAGGGAGGCCAACTGTACAGGGCCCTAAAAGAAAAACCAGGAACAAGAGCCAATGGGCCCAGAGTAATGACTTCATGGAAAAACACAGCAATGCATTTGCTTCTGAGAGCACTGTAACATATTAGTTCTTGACCAATACAAGCTTATCACCTACTGTCCACTGGTGGAGATTGAATAGATATAGGAGAATACGGATAGACAAAAAGCAATTGTAATTACAGTATGTACTTTTATAAGAAAACAAGATACTTTTAATTACTCCTCCTCAAAGAGTGGTCATTTAAGTAACTGATGGAGCTCCCGTAAATGTACAGTAATTAAATAAATTAAATCACTTAATCAGGGCATTTAAAAGTACTTCTCTGCGACTATCGCTGTCTGCTGGTTGTTTTAATTGTTTAAGTTAGCACTCAAAGCGGCGTGCTTCATTACAGCAGTCTCACACGGACTTCGTTCTTCTTTATCCCCTACCTCTGGTCTCGCTCTCTCTCTTTTCATTTTGTTTGGGTTTTTTTTGAGACTGGGTTTTTCTGTGTATCCTTGGCTGTCCTGGACTCACTTTCTAGACCAGGCTGGCCTCAAACTCACAGAGATCTGCCTGCCTTTGCCTCCCAGAGCACTGGGATCACAGGCGTGCAGCCCTGATCCCAGCTCCTGGTATCCTTCCTGCCAGTCAGCTTCCCTGTTAGTCTGTCTTCTTCTTTCATGCCACATACCTTCAATTACCCTCTTTTTCTCCCCCTACCCTTAAGAACTCTTCACTGCTCATAGTTACCTTCCTAGTTTGTTGGATCTCCCTCCCCACACCTTTTCCCTCAAGCCTAGGATCTATGTAATAAAGCAAACAAGCAATCTTTGGGTTTCTGAGTCTGGCTTGCTCCATTAACATAATGGTTTCTAGCTCTATCTCCTTCCCTGCAAATGTCCTGACTCCATTTCCAAACACATTCTTTACCCACCCACCAGCTGGTGACATTTAGGTTGCTCCCGCGTCTTAGCTGCTGTGGGCAGTGCAGCACTCAACATGGGCACGCAGCTCTGGAAGGACAAGCAAACAGCAGCACACCTGCATTGTTGGCATATATGCATTAGTGGCTTAAGACCCTCCAGGTTGATTCCCAAGCGGCCTCTACCAGGTCTCACACAGGTCAACAGTGATGCAGCCTCCTTTCTCCTTATATCCTTGCCAGTACTGGTTACCTGTTAGGTTTTTTGTTTGTTTTGTTTTGTTTTTTCATTTTCTCAGGCAGTGTCTAACATGACCCAGGCCAGCTTTGAACTTACTCTGTACCAGAGTAACTTCTTTAAACTTCTGCTCCTTCGGCTTCGTCTTGCAGTTACAGCATCTGCCACTACCCTGGCTCTGTGCTCTTCACATTAGCCACTCTGCCCAGGCAAAACGAAACCTCTGGCTGTTTTAGTTTGCATTTCCCTGATGGGTAAGGATGTGAAACCATTTTTACTAGCCTGATTTTTGACTGGAAATTTTTATTTTCTTGTGTCTAGTTTTTCAGTTTTTGACATTTCCTACATATTACCCCTCCCCATCTAAAGTACAGTTGGCAAAGATTTTCTCCCATTCCGCAGGTTGTCTCTTCACTCTAGTAATTATTTCCTTTGCCTTGTGAAGCTTTTCAACTTCATGTAATCTTATCAGTCTTTGGAGCTACATTCTGTGTTGTTACAGTCCTTTTAGAACAGGCCATGCTTCTGCCTGCATCTTAAAGTGTTTCTCAGGGCTGGAGAGATGGCTCGGGGGTGGAAAGTACCTGCTCCCTTGCTGAGTTTGACTGCTAGAATCTCTGCCCAGTGACTCCTGCAAGTCCAGCTTCAGGGACTATGATACCATCTGCTGGCCTCCGTAAGCGACGCCCCCATACACAAATAAAAATAAATCTTAAAAAAAAAATTTCAAGTGCTTGCCCTAGCAGTTTCAAGCTTTATATAAAGATCTTCAGTTCATTTTCAAATTTTTTTTATGGAAGGTGGAAGGAAAGGATCTAGGCTCATTCCTCTACCTGTGAAATGCAGTTTTCACAGTACCATTTGGTGTACAGGCTGCCATTTATTATGCAATGTATGTTTTTGATAATGATGTAAAAAACAATAGTGGCTGTAGCTATGTGAGTTTATTTCTGGGTCCTCTATTCAATTCCTGGTGGTTCACATGGCTCTGCAGTATAATTTATAATTTACAATTTAAAATCACGATGCTTCCAGCATTGTTGTTTCCATTTAGGATTACTTTGGCTACATGGGATCTTTTGGGTGTCCATATGAATTTTGGATTACCCTTTCTAGATTTGTAAAGAATGACACTGGGGTTTTTACAGAGAACGCTGACTGTGTAGTAAGTTTGCCAATACACAAGCATGGAAGGGCTTGTCATCTTCTGATTCTCTTTCCCAGCACCCTCACTGTTGTAAAGCTTATATACAGAGGTCTCTTATCTCCTTGATAGGTTTGTTCCTATTTCTTTCCTTTCTTTCTTTTCTTTTCCTTATTTTTAAATTGTGAATGGAAAATGTCTTGATCTCTTTCTTGATAAGTTCAATCATCAGTGACTGACCTCTGCATAGTGACTCTGTATCCTACTGCTTGGCTGCAAGTGCACACCAGATCTAAGCACTTTCTAGTGGCTCAGGGTCTTTAGAAATAGGGCTATGCTATCTCTAAGGGGTGATAATTTGGCCTCTTCTTTCTCTAGCTGTATTCTTTCATTTCTTTCCATATCATACTAGCTAAGGCTAGAGACTAGAGGCCTTTGGAAATATTTATCTCTAGCAAGGCAAACTGTATCTTGTCAGACTGAGGGATGCAGACAACATACGCTCATTCTGTCCTCACAGCAGTTATACAGTCACTGAAGAGTGGGAGACACGGTCAGCACAGAAAGTGCAGCGTCCATACATTACTACAAACCATACGATTGCCAGTGACACAACTATCCTAGCAATCAAAGCAGAGTCAAGCTTTCTGCCAGGTTCCTATTAAAAATAAATAAATATATATATATTTATATATTTATAAATATTTATAAATATATATTTATTTATTATATTTATTTATTTATTATATAAATAATCTAAGATGTCACCAAAACTAAATAATTCAGCTTTCTGAGTATTTTAAACTAACAGAAATGTTTCCTTTAGATCCAGATCTTTATGTTAGTGAGAAGAAAGCACTGCAAGCTTGGTTATGCTGGAACTTCAGTCCTACAGAAATTAGCCTTTTCCCATTCTCTATTAGACAGAAAGTCTTCAGAGGGGAGAAAAATAGCAGTTCTAAAGAGAAAAAAAAGCTGCCAGAGAGAATGTAATTGTGTGGAAAGTCATCCCAATTATGCTACTGAGAACTTACACTGTGAAAAGTCCTATCTTGGCATCTTAGCTAAGATCAAGTATGAAGATACAAAGAACTGATATCATTCAGTGTCCTGACTGGCTGCTCTGACATCTAAAGTCAATGGCTTCACATGAAAGCCAAGAGGTGTAAAAGAGGTAATTGGTATAAACAGAAAGAGGAGGAAGGAGAAAAGAGAACTGTGGAGATGGAGACAGGGCAGCAGTCCACAGAGCCTAGAAGTCACATGGGTCAGAGACACTGGTCATTATGAACACAATGAGAACCACACAGTGACAATGGAGGTGCCTGTCATGTCGACCTTAGACCCCAGGAAAGGTCCGCTGTTCAATGGGACTACTTCCTGCTCGAAAGCTCCACTAACAAGTATTATTCATTAAAACCTGAGAAACATCAGGTTCTCCAACTGCCTTCTAGAGACATCTCTGTCTTCCCAGAGACTCAAATTGTCCTTGAGCTGCCTAAGGGTCCAAGGAGGTTCTGCAAGAAAACAATGTCCAAAATGCCTGCATCCCCGCCATGTCTAAGTGTTTCAAGCAAGTCATAGCAGCTAACAGAAAACTGTCTTCAGTCTACCAGCACAAATACTGAGGAAACACCCCAAGGCGCTCTGCAGTACTCAAAAAGGTGTGCACTCACTTGGCCTGTGATGGACAGCAACAATCTAACAGCTTCTGCAACACTTGGCTTTCAACAACCAAAACTGGGACAAAATACTTTTCCCTCTTTGGTCCCCACCTTAGGGATTTACTATTATGAAACAGGAGCGTCTGAGCCAGGGCTCTATGTGTAGCACATCCAGGAACAAAGCCTATGGAGCACACAGTACGGTGTGGGACCTCAGGTGGGTTTGTAGCCTTTCTAAGCTCAGTCCTCATTGGTAACAGTGGTGGCAACAATCTAGGCATCATTTTGCCATGAGCTTCTGATGCTTCTACAGGGTCCCCTGAGCGTGAATGTGATGTTCTAAAAACCCTGTCCACGCCCTATCTCACAGTCTAGCCACACAGAGCAACACTGAAGAATGCTGTCACATGTCTTTATGGAACAGAGAACAGGCTTACTTCCAGGCTGCTATATGTGGCTTGTTTCCCAGGCTTTGTGTTCCTGCTGGAAGCAAGTATTTGCATCTCTCCTGTGGAAGTTGGGGACCAGGGAATTTAAACAACCAATCTGAAAGTCTGGCAGCTGCTTTTGTTGTAACACAAGGCTTCAGTTTCTCACTTATGAGTCTTGGGTCTTGGGTCCTGGGGAAATAGCTCAGTCAGCAAAGTGCTTGCCATACAAACATGAGGAACTGAGTTCTAATCACCAGCAACCACATAAACCCTGGCTGTGGCAAGATGCATGCCTGTAATTTCAGTCCCTGGAAAGTAGACATAGGATCCCTGGAGACGGATGGATAGCCAATCTAGCTCAGTCAGTGCGCCTGGGGTCCAGTGGGAGAGCCCATCTCTAAATATAAGGTGGAGAGAAACTGAATATGATGTTGACTTCTGGTCTCCACTCCCGTATGTACTTAGGTGCACATATACACATGTGCACTTGTACATACACACACATACATACATGCAAATGAACATGTGCACACACAAAAGAAATCTCACATCTTCTGTGGGCATCCATGGAGACTGGCAAGCTTCTTTAGCTTCCAAGTTGATAGAAAGCTCAGACCTGTGTCAGTTTTGAAAGTCAACACTTATCTCACAGGAGTTCTGAGAAAGTAAAAAAATTGAAGATAACAATGCACTTTCCCTAATGTGTGGTGTGGTGCATCTTTATCAGATAGTAGCTACTAAGATCGTGTACTAGGAGATTAGCTCTTGGGAGATGTCTTCTGAAGGGATATAAATTAGAGACTGGCTTTTCTTGATTACAAAGAATAAATCTCTAGACGCTACTAAATTTCCTTTCATCTGAAAAGAAATGAAAATCCTTGTGCATACTGCTCCACATATGTCCACAGCACACTCAGCAGGTGCCAGGGTTCAGCTCTAGGGGTTGTACTCAGTACAACCCTAAGACTACGCACCAGTTCTCTGGCCTCTTCAAGCTGTTTCTCCACGTTGGCAACCATTTGCTTCTTCTCATCTAAAACAAGCAATAATATCAAAGAAATAATAATTATACAACATACATTGAATATCACTGGTTATCAACCTTCCTAATGCTGCAAGTCTTTAATACAGTTCCTCATGTTGTGGTGACCCGAACCACAAAATTATTTTGATGTCACTTCCTAACTGTAATTCTGCTGTTACGAACTGTAATGTAAATATTTGTTTTATCTGATAGTCATAGAAAGGAGCTGGGATTCCACTGCTCTAAAGCCTCCTATTTTAGAACATCCTTCTCCTTTCTGATCAACCAGATCAGAACATGTAAAGGAAACAGATCATTCTACAAACTACGATGAGCACTGATTCTGCAATATGGGTTAATTAAAATCCAAGGAAGGGCTGAGTTTTTAGGAGGTGTCATATAGTTATAAGGGAAACTAAAAAGAATTGTGTTCTGTAGAAGAGATTATGCCAACAGTAGCAGATAAGAGTGGTGGCCTGAGGGGTTTGCTGAGTCTCCACTGCAATAAATTGGAATCACTGATGTGACTCGAGTTTAACACTCATATATATGAAAACACTTCTCAAAACTCAGTAAGGTCTTGTAACTCTTTAGTGTTGTGCTTTCAATAATGTTAAGAATAAGGTATGAGGGCTACAGAGAGGGCTCAGCAGTTCAGAGCACCAATGTTCCTGCAGGGATTCAGTTCCTAGCACCTACATGGTAGCTGACAACTGTCTATAACTCCAGCTCCAGGGGACCTGGAACTGGCCTCCACTAGCTCTGCATGCATGTGGTACATACACATGCAGGCAAACATTTATATATATAAATAAATAAATATATATATATATATATATATCACACACCCATATATACATATTTATACATATATATATATTTTTTAAAGTTTGGGATTCTGGACAACAAATAGTTTCTTTTTAAAACTCAACATGTATTTTCTAAATGAAGTTTTAAGTGTGTGTGTGTGTGTGTGTGTGAATGAAATGACTTTTAACTGGGAGGTGCTGACTCTCCATGGTTTATTTAGACACTATAATAACCAAGCCATTTCTTAAGCACAACTCCCTTCTCTGTCTGGTCATCACATTCATCCAGAGATTCCCCCTATGTCTTGTGTTGCTCATTTTTAGTTTTCTGCTCAGCACTTTCCAAGTGAGAACACCCACTCTTCTGAGACTCCCATCTTCACCACACAGGACATGGAAGTGCTGCTTTCTGACACAACTCTGCCTTCCAGTCACAGAGCCTTGAAAACAACTGCTGGACTAACTTTAAGTGACTCTCACCCTTGCTCACACCAGGGTCAGGGAGATACATACTCATAGAAGCCAATCAATTTTCTAGAACATACTGATTTCCTTCCAAGTAGTAAGGAGGCACATTTTATATTAAGAAAGCTCATCAAACACCTCGGCCAGGTGATCAAAATTAACAATAGCAGTGAAAGGGCATGCTGAGCATGTCCTCTTGATATTATGGGAGGACAATGAGCAGTTTGGGTCTCTCTTTCCCAAAACCCATCACCCCAGACGAAAAATGAAAGGAAAAAACAAACAAATAAAACTGGGAAAAATCCCAACCAAGGAGTGTTCTACCGTGTCTCACAATTACTCCATCAAACCATTTGCTCACTAAAAGCAAGGGCACCCTGAGAAACTGTTACAGCCCACAGGAGTGTAAGGCCCTACAGTTACTTAATGTTTTGTAGGATCCATGCCTGGATCCTGAAGTAGAAAAAGGACACTGGGTTTAAAAGGGAAAAGAATTCCTTCTAGCTTTAACTACGAAGATGTGAACAAGGATGGGCTTAAGCCAGTAAAAAAATAATATGGACTCAGGATTTGTAGCAAACATATAAAGGTGAGGTGTTAACAAGGGCTGCCGACATGGATAAATGAAGAGTTATTTTGTGATTTTTACATAATTTCAAACATTCTAAAAGTAAAAAGCTAAGAGCCAGGAACACAGCTAACTAAGTGAGTATTTAACAAGAGATAGGCCTTGGGTCCAAGCCCCAATACCACAAATACAAAATGAAGCCATTACTTAAAATAATTGAACTAAGAGAACAAGATTCCCCCCACCCCACCCCGAGTTTAGAGATGTGCCTCAGTGTAAAATGAAAACGTGTGTATGCATACTTGACACAAATTTGTTAAATATGTATTGATGACTGAAATTCTATAAACACTTTTTGTAAAACATAATGGGGTCATAGATAACAGCTGATGGTGTTTCCACAATATACTCAACTGAAAGTATCATATATGGCAGCTTCAACCAGCTCCTAAACTTTCCAGTGTGACAGTTGCTCCATTAGACTCAAGGATCTCTTTCTAAAAGACACCTGTTTTGCTCCATCACTGCCACTCCCCTCCCTCGATTCCCTTCCTTCTTGATACCCTGAATTCAAAAACATTGCCACTTCCACATCCCAGGGCCCTGACCACCTACTCTTCAAGTGCACATTTTCATTAGGACACTTTAACCTCACTCTAGTTTAGGCACAGAAAGGAAGCAAGAAGTTTAGTGCTAGGTTCCCTTTAAAGTACAATTAAGATGACAGTGTCTGAAGAGCTAGATCCTAGCTGACCCTGCCCTCTGCGCTGACCCTGCCCTCTGCTGTCTGAAGCACAGTTGATTAATACAATGATAACCCTCAAGGGCTAGTTTGTTACGTTTTCTTTGTACTGCATGCTGCATTTGTATTTTACAGCATTATAAGATTAAAATGATCATCCATCCCTTCTTATTCTAAAGATGGAAGTTCAGGCAAGCTTACAGAGGCCAGGAAATCTGTCCACTACGTGTGCTTTACGTAAGCTTTATGTAAGCTCATGCAGAGGTGGGATCCTAAATAGGTCTGATATCAGCAGCCTGTTGCCACAGTACATTCTTGGTACATTCCAACCTCACTCTAGTTTAGACACAGAAAGAAAGCTGTAAGACTAATAGGATTCACAAATGACCATGGGGAGATAAGGAAGTAACTGCAAAATGAAATTCTGTTGAAGATCCTCTAAGATGCCTGCTTGCTGTAATGGGAGCTCTGCCCTGTGGAAAGAACTCTTCTGCTAAGAAATTCACTCCCAGCATCACAAAATCCAGAATGTAAAGTGAGCTATGGTCTGGACTCATTGATTTCCCTGACTTCCCCATAGAACAATAATCATTTACAAATCAAAAACCAATCTTCAAATTCAGTAACAACAACAGTATTCATTAAGGGGCTCACTCATCTAAAAATCACAGCTATTAAAATTAGTTAAGATTCAAACACTTTAAAGAGTTTTTTATTTTTATTTTTTATATTAATTACAGTTTATTCACCTTGTAGCCCAGCTGTAGCCCCCTCCCTCATTCCCTCCCTATCCCACCCTCCCACCCTCATCTCCTCCCATGCCTCTCTCCAAGTCCACTGATAGGGGAGGTCCTCCTCCCCTTCCATCTGACTCTAGCCTATCAGGTCTCATCAGGACTGGTTGCATTGTCTTCCTCTGTGGCCTGGCAAGGTTCAAAGAGTTTCTTATTGATAAAGTTTTCAAAGTCTTTTATTAATAAAGTATTACAGAGTAAGTTTCTTTTTAAAATAAAATATGAGAATTTTTTTTTTTTAATTCTCTTTGGAAGTCACCTTAATACCCGCACATGCACAGCACACAGTAATTAATTTCCACAGATTCTGGGAACTCTAACTTAAATTATTTTGTGGGGGAATGAGCTGCTTTGACTTTTTATAGTTTACTCCAATTTTTTTAAAAATTCAAATAAATTACAGTTCATATCTGGATCTATTTCAGCTGAGTAACACAACCACTATGATGCTGTGGGGTACTACAGTTACCAGTAATTACAGTATTAATTAGTAAAAGTAATGGTTACATTATTAATCCCTGCTAGTTCATAAATTCATAAATATCTTTTTCTCTCAATTAGAAACAAGCTAAAAAAAAAAAAAAGAGCAAGCACAAGTTATTATTAAGAGGAAAACCACTGTATTTTAAAGTCATTTAATTATTCAAGTAAGTACACATTTTTGTTTTTGTTTTCCACAGTGCCAGCAATACACTCTCCTTTCAAATGAAATATGGCTGCTATGTTTGGGTTTCACATTACACTAAACATAAGGAGAGGCATACCAGTATCTTTACTTTTTACTATACTTAATTCAATTGTTTCCTTCTATGTGGTAAGAATTTTAAACATAAAGGCAAGAAAACTCAATTGTAACAAAATCTGTTTTCTCAGAAAGAGTCTTCACAACTTTGTACCCTGGATATTACTTTGTAAAACAATCTCTCAATACTAAAGCTATTTTTCCAAATAAAGAAATGTTTCTACTGCTAACACAAACAAAACAAAAACACAATAAAATTCAAAATGAGCAAAATCCAACTGCAACTACAGGTCCTGGTCCTCTGAGGCCCTGGACTCAATTCAAAGGCAACAGTCTCACACAACAATGACAAGAGGATCTTGGGCAATGGAAAAAAGTGGGATTGCAGAGAACAGGCGAAGTGAAGAATCATGTAGGCAGGGGGCCATCATCCACTTTGTCCACAAAAATCTGAGGCAGCACAGCTCCGTGGTACATGCTGCCTTGTTCTCTCCTCTTGTTCCCTCACTTGAACTCATAAACCTCTTTAAGACATCATCCACCTCCTTCAGAACTAACTGGGACTTCAGGAGATGAGTGGGATGTAAGTTCAGAGGTCAGGGCTTCAAGCAAATATCCCTAGTAACAGAAAACAGGTGGGGTGGGGGACAAGGGAATAAAAGAAGAAATTATTTATAAGCAAAAAGTTTGGGGGGAAATTCTGGAAAGGGGATAAAGGAACAAGTTAGAGTCAAAAGAAGTTACTGCTGGCATTTTGGACTGTACTAACCAGTTAAGAAAGTGAAGTTACCCACAATTTTGATGACCAATGGGAATCATCTTTTCTAGACAGTATGTTCCAGAGCTAAAGTAGAGGCAAGTTCAGCAGCCCAATGACTGTTCAATTTTCCTAAGGAAACTGAGCCAAAAAAAATTAACAAATATAACTCGTAATTTGTTACTAACTACTCAAGTTAAATCTGTAGTTAAAGAAAAAATCCTAAAACTCTACCTTAAAAGTCACAAGATTATAATCACCTGTTTATTAAAACACATTTTTGTAAGCCCTTCGAAAAGAAATGTCAAGGAAATCAGACAAGGCCCCACCTTCACACTGTTGACAAAGAGGGAACTATCTGCGAGATGCCGAATTTTAAAAGTGAGAAAAATTACCCTGCACCAAGTTTTTTATAAAACTGGGTTATAAATACCCAAGAAGGATGAGAAACACAAAACCAGGGCAGAGTTCTGAAAACTATGAATCCTAACAAGAGCTAACACAAAGGGTTCACAGATGTGTGTCATTTAATCTTCGCAGCAGCCCTAATGAGAGAGGTTCGATTCTCCGGAACCAAGAAGGAAGTTTTGAAAGATAACGAAAACTATCCTAGGAGACAACTTCTAAGTGGGAAGAACTGGATTTGAATTCAGGCATCTTGGCTTGTCACTTTAACTACAGCAAATAAGGATAACAGTACCATTTACCAAAAAAAAAAAGACAACGCTGCTGCATTTGTAGAGCCTCAATCTTGACACTTCGTTACATTTCCTTTGAATACTCTTACCTTCATATTAAAAAAAAAAAAAAAATCAAGATGCAGGTGACACCGTTTCTAAGGTTATACAAGTTTTAAACAAGCGATGGAGTAGGAACTCGACACCACCCCCAAAACGGTTTCCATGAACAAGGCGCTAATCCTTTGAACCACCCTTGGACTACCAAGTCAAGACCCAGCCCTCCTCAGGCCGCCAGCACCGCCCACACTAGCCCCGCGCCTAGGAGACCACAGGCGCGTTCCGCGGCTCCAGGCTCTCCAGGCCGCCCCCGCCCGGCCGGGAAGGATACTCACCCGGAGGGAGCCGAGGGACCCTGGAAATCTTGCTGGTGATCTCAGCGGTGAGCACTGCGAAGTCCTGCTCGTAGCCTTCGAAGTCGGAAGACATGGCAGCTCGGGAATGGTCGGCTGGAGCCGGGATGGAGCTCAGAGCAGGACTCGCGAAGGGCGCCGGACCTCGGCGCAGGGACCCAGAGAAGAAACCTTAAGCACAGCGGGAACCCGGGACAACTCCCAGCCCAGCCGCTTCCTGGTTGCTCTTCGCAATCCTTGTCCTCCGGAAACGAAGTTGCCTGCGCCTTTTCTTTTCCACTCAGTCTTCGAGAGTAAAACTAAGGGAAAACTTCACTTTCAGGGTCCCCTTAAAAAAACCTGCGAAAACCTGCATGCTCCCGAGTATCACCGAAAAGATTTCCCCACACTCCACGTTCAAGAAGAAGGCTGGGGGGGGGGGGGTCTCCCAAGCTTTAAATTGCAGACGCCTGCTTCCAGAGGGAAGATTGACGCAGCGCACCTGCCGGAAGTGGCTGTGGCGGAGCTTGCGCCGTGGGCCTGGGCGGGAGCCTCACGGCCGCGTGAGCTTAAAGCGCGCGGGTCGGAGTTGGTCGCGCTCTCATCGCTGACAGGGTTCGCTTTCGGCTTGCTCGGGACTGAAGTGCTCATGACGGAGGTATAAGGAGAGAAAATCTGTTCCGGGTGAGCCCAGGCCGTTCCGGAAATGCGATGGCTGTGGAGCTAGCCCCGGAGGGCTGACTGAGGGGATCACTGCAGGGGGTGCAATCCGCGTGTGAGCTGTCTTCCCCTGGACCTAGTCGAGCCAGCATCTCCAAAACGTTGAGCCTAACCTCGCTTAATAAGACATTTGTCTCGTGAGTGAAGGTCCAGGATCATCAAGCACGGGCGGGAAACTGAGGCAGGCACTCGGCAGGCGCATCAGCTGCGTGGGAATCCGTTATGCATACGTCATGCCCATATAGCGTAGGTCTTTTCCCGACGCATTCCACTCCGTTCAGAACTCGGGTCTACAACCGTTCCCCCGTGCTTGCCTTCTTCCCTTCTTCTGCCCTCTCCCCCGGAGGAAATTAGTTTTATTTTTCTTAATCATGTTTGTGCTGGCTCTCGTGCACTGGTTCAGTCGTGATTTTTTCGCACGCAGACATGACACTTTCATGTTTGCTTTCACCCTTGTTCCTATACCTTTAACCCCGATCGATTGTTAATATTGGCGCTTGGGGGAACACGGCGGGTTATCTATACACAAGGTATTGTGTCCGTAGAGAATATCACAGTCAATTCACAACTCTTTGACTGGCAGTTTAGAATGTCCTAGAAGGTCGGTGCCTTGGCTTCTATTGTAAGCTCAGCTGTTACTTGTGACCTTGGTCGATCTAATCACACAACCTCTATAAGCCAGTTTCTGTTGTAGAGAGAATTAGATAAGTTATAATTAGATAAGGCCCCCGCTTCTCAGCTCTCTAAGCCTTTGATCTCTCAAACTTATCCAATAAGCATGGGATAGTTGATCCTTTCTAAAGGTTTAAACAAAGGAGTAAAACTGTTTAATGTGTCCAGTTTACAGGCAGTTCAAGCTTGGGCTATATTTTGGATAAGTCCAAAGTAATTCTTTTTGTTCTCGGTAAGATGTAAACTGAACACTAAGTGTGCTTTTGGGGTGCTGTTTCAGTGCTTCTTGAAGTTCAATAAATGGTGCATGGAATTTTTGAAAAGATTTATTTTCTTTAGGTTGAGTTTCAAACCAACCTAGGTTCTTTTAACTGAGATAAAGAGCTTTGGATACCAAGAGTGAAAATGGCATACTCCATGTCAGCACCCTGTCAACCAAAGGCATGACAACTCAGGAACACACATGGACTTGTTGCACACAGAAATGTGTGCACAGGAAGAGGAGATCTCTAGTTCTTTAGAAAAAAGAAAGCATCCTTCACCAAAATGGGCACATTCTGCTCAGTAATCAAGTTTGAAAATCTTCAAGACTTAAAGAGACTGTGTCACTGGGGTCCCATCATAGCCCTTGGTGTTATAGCAATATGTTCTACAATGGCCATGATTGACTCCGTCTTGTGGTATTGGCCTTTACATACAACTGGAGGAAGTGTGAATTTCATCATGTTGATAAACTGGACTGTCATGATTCTTTATAATTACTTCAATGCCATGTTTGCTGGTCCTGGCTTTGTCCCTCGGGGGTGGAAACCGGTAAGAAAAAGATCCATTTTGACAATGATCTTTGCATAATTTTATGTTTAGTTTGCCATGATAATTACACTTTGGTTTTGCCTTATCAACCTTTGTTCTAGGAGACACTGGGTGCTACTCTAGTCACTGATGATCACGTATGCTTAGAATTATGTCTATTTGAAAATATTGATCTACATTAGCTATTTTCAAAGCAATTAAATACTTGTTCTTTGTTTAAAAAAGAGAGAATGTGTGTGGTAGTTCATGCCTTAATAATCTCTGCACTGGGGAGGCATGGGTATGTCATCACATGAGCTGGGCCCACCTGGGCAATATAGCAAGTTTACAGAGAAGAAAGGAAAAAGATGGTGCCTCAGGCTGAGAACATGTGGGAACACATATCCAGAAACTAGACAGCCTTGTGTGACTGAAAAAAATAATAAAAATAAACCTGTGTAGTGAAGATAAGGGTAAACAAAGGCAACTAGCTCAGAATGCATGGGAGCTACTGGCACCACAAGGGATGTCTAGATGTTTTAGGCAAAGGAGAATGAAGCTGTACTTACAGTTTCATCACTTAAAAGTACTTAAGCAAAAACAAAGGCATTGAAAATTTAAGTTAATAACCTCCTTCTCTCCTTCATCCATAAAAGAAATTTATACCACTATAAGAACCTTCGTTTATAAAGCCCAACTTGTTATTATTTAGGGTCAGGTAACTAACATGCCTTTTTTCCTGTTAAGGAAAATTCTCAGGATAGCATGTATCTCCAGTACTGTAAAGTCTGCCAAGCATACAAGGCACCACGTTCCCATCACTGCAGAAAGTGCAACAGGTATGTGACTTCTGTTGTGGGGTAGGGGGACCGATCCATGTCGTTTCTACTCTCTGTCATTGTATTTCTATCATAATAGAAACCGTTTGTATTCTCTACAAGTGTCCTAGTTTATGTCTCTATTGCTGTGATGAAACAAACACTAACCAGAAGCATTCTGGGGGAGGAAAAGATGTATTTGGCTTACAGGTTACAGTCCATTTTCATGGAAAGCTAAGGCAGGACCTTGAACCAGAAACCGGGGAATGCTGCCTAGTGGCTTGCCCAGCTACCATTTTTAGACTGCCCAGGTCCATCTGCTTAGGGGTGGCCCTTCCCACAGTGGGCTAGTTTCCTTCGATGTCAATCAGCAACCAAGAAAATTCCCACAGTCTGCTCTGATGGAGTCTTTCCTCATTGAGAACCCCTCTTCCCAGTATGTGTAGGTTTGGATCAAGTTAACAGAAACTAGCCAACACAGTAATACATCTACTTTGTCAAACATACTATCAAAATACTGTGTCTATAACGTTAGTTTATATTTAAATATCAACACAGATAATTTCATTCTTTTTTTTTTTATAAGGAAGAGAGTTTGCTTCTAACCCTACAAAACCAAATTAAAAGTTATCCTTATGCTTTTTTTTTTTTTTTTTCATTTGCTGTATCAGGATTAGTTGCATTCATTGATTGCCATGTTGACTAACTTCAGAATTATTTTGAGTCTGAATTAGCCTGGTTTTCTCAGATTCATTCATATGGAAGAAAACTGAATCACTATTTTTAAAAAATGCAAAATACGCCAGGACCTAGCTGTTGATTAAGATGAAATGTAGGAAATCATCAGATACAGCTAAAAATTGGGCTGTTGCTAGGAAGCTTTCTTTTAACGGAGAGATAGCAGAAGCACTGTCAAGGCTGCTTCCCGTTCTGTCTTCCATGCTGGGGTTGGCTTGGGCCAGAAGCTCCATCTCTAACATGTACTGTGAGGAAGGAAGTTGCATGTTTGGAGAGCTCTAGCATTCTGTGGAGTCACGTGTGAACTGTGAGTGAGGGGAGTGTTTGTAAGCTTGAGAGGAACGGCTGCTGAGTTCCTCATTTGTACTGAGACTCGTGGAGCCACCCAGCTTCTTTAAACAAATTCTATTTGTAGCAGGCATGTTTGCTTTAGAAGCTGTTATGATGTCTGCTTACTCTTGTGTTACTTAGAATTTTAAAGAAGTCACCATCTAAAACTTCAGAAAGTCGTAAAGATGTACCTGCTTTATGAGAATTAATCCTCCTGTGAGTCTGAACATACTCGATTCCTATTTGCTTGATCTTTTAAAAACTAGAGCTAAAATGGACAGGATTTTCTGCGTTGTGCTTCATACCTGTTTTTCTTATTAGATGTGTGATGAAGATGGACCACCACTGTCCCTGGATCAACAACTGCTGTGGTCACCAGAACCATGCTTCATTCACACTGTTTCTCCTGTTAGTGCCTCTGGGCTGCATCCATGCTGCTTTCATCTTTGTGATGACCATGTACACGCAGCTTTATAATCGGGTGGGTGAGCACTGAGATGCACTGCACGGTGTCAGGTGCACTGGTGTTGTCCAGGTCATTGAAGAGGGAGATCTCTTTTGCAAATAACACTGTTTGTGATTTAGCTAGTACAAAAACTTTGCCTCTTCCTCCTTTTAAAAAGTTCTCAATCCTGAAAATGAAGAAAGATTATTTTATTCTGGAAACTCACCTTTTATGCTCCAATTGAAGTTTATGTGTATTATTTTTCCCTCATCCACGATTTGTTATGTTTCTAACTTAGTGGAGTGGTGAGTGTAATGAGCGGAAAGAACTAGACGTGAAAGACCCTGGTCCGTTCCTTTCTCTTCATTCAGTTTCTGCAGCAGATCAACATTCCTTTGTTCATTTGCTCCATGGAGCAAGCACACTCCGAAAATAAACATATTAAACCAGAAACAGTTTGAGTTGACTTTTGGAAACTTAGCCATGAGCTAAAGTTCGGAGGTGATATAAATAAAAAGTCACTAAATAGGCTTGGAAGTAAAAGAGGCACATGGGCTCAATAGGTGTACAAGAAACTGGAGACTACACATCCTTCACACAGGGGTCAATGTGATTTTAGCCAGTTTGTAGTTTCCACTCAGTCCTAGCTCAGCAGTGCTAATCTTCCATTGTTTAGAAATCTGAATTTTTATATGAACTCTTCAGATTTTTAAATGTTAGCAACTAACTTCTATGCTATGGTTGCTTTCAACCATAAAATTAGTTTATTGCTACTTCATAAACTATAATTTTGCTACTTTTATGAATTGTAAATGCCTCAAATGTAGGATATATGATATGAGATCCCCAAACTGGTCAAGAACCACTGTTTTAGAACATTGTACATGCCAGGTACTACACATCTGCAGAATCTATTTAGCCAGATTTTATCAGCTCTTGATCACTGGTTATGGAACATGCTGTATCTGCTGCTGTGGAAGAATATTGTAAATTAGAAAAGCATGGAGACAGTGTTCCCTTGCTGTTCATAACTATTCATATTTGTGGGGTCAAACTGAGTCTTCTGAGAAAACAACTAACATTAAAGAGTAACTAATAGTGGAGGTGGAGGTGTATATAGCTCCGTGGCAGAGCTCTTCCCCAGCATGTGTGAGGCCCTGGGTTTGATTCCTGAAATTAAAAACACAGTAGATGTCAAGTGGAAGCCAAGTGTTTGTTAGAAACTGCAATTTGCTGCAGTTGCCTGGTCAGCATGTCTTTATCTTTTTGCTCATGTTGGGGTTTTATTTTTATACATTTTCTGTGGATAGTGTGCCTGTGTACATGCACATTGCCATGTTTGGGTGCATGCATGTGGGTATTCAAGGCAGATGTCAGGAGTCTTCCTTGATGTCTCTCCACTTCCTTCCTTCCTTCTTTCCTTTCTCTCTCTCTCTCTCTCTCTCTCTCTCTGTCTAGAACTTGCTTTGCAGATCAGGCTCACACTCATGGTTGATAGCTGGGATTAAAGGTATGCACCACCATGCCCACCTCTGCTTATTTCATTGAGGCAGGATCTCTCAACTGAACTTGGTGGTTAAGATAAGATTAAAGGTTAAAGTGTGGCTTGCCAGCTTTCCCTGGAAATGCGGTGTGTATGGGAGAACCACCATGCCTAGGGAACATTGATGTGGAAGCCGGAGGGCCAAACTTGGTCTTCATACGTACGCAGCAAGCACATATCTACTGAGCCATCTCCCTAGCTCTGTTGTAGTGCTGTAGGTCTTATTTCCAACAAGCATTTCACATGTGCATTGTTACTGCTTGCAGCTCTCCTTCGGGTGGAACACAGTCAAGATTGACATGAGTGCAGCCAGGAGAGACCCTCTTCCAATTGTTCCCTTCGGATTGGCTGCATTTGCCGCCACTTTGTTTGCCTTGGGATTAGCTTTGGGAACAACCATAGCTGTTGGGATGTTGTTTTTCATACAGGTAAAGTTCTAAACCTGCTTGTAGAGATTCATTGTGTGGGAGAAACTACTTTTGCTTATCTGTAATCAGTGAGTTAATCACCTGTGTACACTAGATAATTTTGAAGTAATTTTGCCAGGATATCTAGCCACTGATTTGTGAGACATGAAAATACAGAGCTGAGAATGCTGCTCTTACCCTGCAGTTGCCCACGATCTTTCAGTCACCCAAAACAGATTGACAGCAGAGTGTTGTCTTCTCTTCCTTACAAATAAATGAGTGATTGTTGAAAAGGTTAAGTGACCCATTCATGTGCTTAGTAAATATAAATATTAATGAAAATGAAGAGGCTCCTGAGGGAGTATTAAGAGATTAGTTTTTTTTTTTTCCTAATGCTTATAATTAAGAATCATAGTAAAAACAAATTAAGATCTTGGTGTGAAATCTTTCGTACGTGGACTTAGTCATAGCAAAGAAACTAGGGCAAGTGTAACCTGAGTTAGTTTGTGTTGCTGGGACAGAGACTTGACAAATAAAGTCAGGCAGGAGGGTCTTATTTGGGTTCACTGTTCGAGAAATTCAAGCCTCTGTACTTCAAAGTCTATCTTAGCCCACAGTAAGGCAGAACATCAGAGCAAGGAGCCAATAGAGGAGGAAGCTATTCACAGCATGGTGGATAGGAGGTGAAGAGGGTGTGGGGGGCGGACCAGTAAAACGTTCAACCACCCAAGGACACACCCACAGGGACCATCTTCCAGTTAGGCCAAAACTAGTTTCCAGAATCTCCTAATAGACTGTCAGCTGTGGACCAAGCATTCCAGGTAAGCCTGTGAAGGACACTTTTGTTCAAACCATAACATGAGAAAAATTTTAGGTTGACAGAAATGAGACACTGTTAAAATCTGAATAGAGCAATCATAAATTTAAAGTTAATGAAAAACATGAATAATAAGGTTGGAAAGGTAGTTCAGTGGGTGAAAGCACTTCTGTGCAACCATAAAGACCTGAGTTGGGATCCTGCCACCCATGTAAAAGCTGTGTGCTAGTGCGTATGACCCCAGCACTAGTGGCAAGTGGGATGGAGACAGGTAACTGGGACTTGGTAGCTACCAGCTGCTATGCCAGGATCACAGGACCCTCAGAGACCACCAGGAGACTTGATGCAAGAGCAAGAGAGCTTTATTATGAGAGAGATCGAACTTGGGACCCAAGTCTCACTGACATAGCAGTAGAGAAGTGGGACCCTGAGCCCTGAGTGAGCAGGGTTTTTAAAGGGAAAAACTGCAAGTGGGGGTATTTCCTGGTATCTGAGTTCAACTCCCTGTAAGGTGGCTCCTCATTTCAAAATGGAGTCACCCAGGCTAACTCTTCACAGCCTAGCTGAAAAATGTTGAGTTCTAGGTTGGTGAGATACCCAGTCTCAAGCGAATAAGGCAGAAAACAGGAGGTCATCCAACATTTTCCTCTGACCTCCACACAGGTGCATACCCTCAATGCACACACATGTACACAAGTATACTATGTATACACGTACACGGTAATAAATTTTAATAGGAAGTACATTTAAGTACTTCCTATTAAATTATTTATATTAATGTTTTGTTAATAAGAGATGAATTCTAATCAAAGTGTTGGGTCAGCTTTGCTTTGGGTGTTTGTGATGAATTTGGCATAGAGGAGCCATAATGCATTAGTTGAGAAGGACTTTAGAGTCAGATGGGCTGCACACTACCTGCTACTTGACGTCTGCCATCTTTGCTGTCTTAATCTGTGGTAGAAAAATAAAAGCTGTCTCAGAATTAGGATGGTAATGATCTGAAGTAAACCAAAGTTAAAGTTAACCAATGTTAAATTCACTCTCATTTCATTTCCAGATAAAAATTATTCTCAGAAACAAGACTTCTATTGAATCATGGATTGAAGAGAAGGTAAATTTTAATAGTGTTTCTTCAATCTAAAGTACTGATTAATTTACTGAATACTGGGATGTGAAAACTTGGGTTCTTGCTGTGCCACACCCCAGAAAAGGTGAGCAAAGGGAGCATTTGGACTTTCTCTCTTAATCAGCTCCCTCAGAAAGGCTTTCCTCACACCCTGAGCTGCTGCTCTCTCCGGCAGGAAGTCAGACAGCCCAAGGTACCAAAATACCTGCGACATTAAGTGGCTCTAACTCTCGCCTTGGAGCCCTTGTGGTGGCCTCTGCTCCCAGAAGCTAAGCAGGCTGTGCTTAGTTCTTGGAGGGCAAATGGTAGAGCACCTGCATCAGAGTACCTCCTCAGTGTCTGCCCTGCAGTCTGCATTTGTAACCTAAGCAGCAGTGCCCAAACCCTATGGTCTTAGAGTTCTTGCACATTTTCCCCAAATTGCCAAGTTCACTGAAGAGCTTGCATGAGTGCTGTGCTCACTGATAATCTCCATATTATTAAAAAAAAAAAAAAAGAAAAGAAAAGAAATTAAAGGCGACCCATTATGTTGTTATAACATTTTGTAAAAAGTAATTATATTTGACAACGAAAAATAGGAAAAGTGGCCTTGCTTTATAGATTTACAAGTCTCTTTACTATCTGGCTTACAGAAGACGGTTGGAATCTCACACCGACTTCTGCATTCAGTCTGTTGAGACATTTATGAAGAAAGCCCAGCTTCATACAGATTACGTAGGTAGAAAAGATTAGAGTATTTTTTGATGGACATTTCAGACTATAATAGGTATTGAATTTACATTAGAGCTTGCCTTCCACACAACCCAGTGTGCGGCTGAAACTCAGAATCTCATGTTTACCCAGCAAGCGGTCTGCCACTACGCCTTACCCCAGTCCAGCAGGGAACACCTCTTGTTAGAAACCTTTTTGTATTCTTTTATATTAAAATTTACAGCATTATTATATTTACTTATAAACAATATAAAATGTTTATGTTAAGATAGAAGTATCTTTAAATGTGGGTAAGCTTTCAGAATCATAGCAGTGAATGCAAGTTTTCCAAAATTCTAATTTTCACTTGAAAGCCTGAATTTTCTTCAGGCATTTACCTGTCATGTTGTTCTGACTTTACCTTTGAAAACATATTCAAGGCTCTCGGCTCTCACCGCTTTGGCGGTGGGGGTGTGTGTGTGAGCCCGAGCTGCAGCTTGTAATTTGTAATAAAAAGATCCTCATGTGGTTTGCAACGGACTCGGCTCCTGGTGGTGGTCTTTTGAGGTATCGCGATTCGGGCACAACATAATTTGGGGGCTCTCCGGGATCCCCAAGACCTCGCAGGACTCCTGAGCCGGAGGACCGGAACCCCGGGTAAGCGCGTTTGACTTGGCCAAGTTATGTTTCTCTGTTCTGTCATTCTGTGTATTTTTGAGATCTCAAGGTGGTACACAGTGAGTGGCCAGGGATCGGTCATGTCATTGTACACCAGCTGACGAGCAGGCAGACCGAGGCCACGGGGATCTTGGGAGACGTCCCAGATCCCGGCGGGGCAGAGCTCCCCAATAGCACTGTGAGGGTCACGGGGTCCCAAATCTGTTTGATAGGTCTAGAAAGTGGGTCGCTCCCAGGGACACAGGAAGTACTGGCGGAATCTGTTGTTTTGTGTTTCTGGCTGTCTAGCCATGCTGAGTGAAAAAAAGAAAGTGCTGGAGGAAGTAAAGTTTTGTCTTTCTGTTTAAATGTATGTATGGACATCATGTTTCTTGTCTGTTACATGTTTGTTCTGAATGCTAGTTACTCCGGCAGTAGGACAGTGGCAGCGTCAGGTTTCTGTTTCCCCTGAAGCTTTGCTTCTAGTATGGCTCCTGAGCATCGGAAGAGTGGTTTGGGTCCGCTCACTTGGATCGGCGCATTGAGGCGGGTGGTCGCGGGACCGTTTTTGTGGACATACTAACCGCCCCTTCTCTGAAGTGGGAAGGAGCAGAGAGATTCTGCTCCCCCAACAATTTGAATCTGAGCCTGAGTACCTTGGCTAGATAAAGGTGATTCCTATGTTTCTTGTGTATATTTCTTTGTGTCTGTTTCTCTGTGTGTACTTGGACTGACGGACGACAGTTTTGGATATGGGACAGTTTGGTCTTGGTTGTGGCGCCAACTGCTCCAGTGCTTGGGGACGTGGCAGGAATGCTTTCGGGTGGCCAGGGAGATCCACGGAGCTGGCCAGCCCAGGGTTGGAACGCGATCAGTTGTGCGTGCCTCTCCAGCAGCTCCGGCAGCCATGTGCGCCTTTCCAGCGGCTGGGAGCTGTGTCATAACAAAGGCTTGCTACAGTCCCTTGCCAAGATCAGCAGCCGCTTATGGTGGCAGAGCATGGGGGAGACCAGGCAGGGAAACAGGTTCAGGGCCGGCCTTGCAGGAAAGCAAATTAGGGTAACAGGAAAGCAAACTAGGGTAAACTACAGGCTCATGGCGCGAGGCGGGGGAGGGGGAGGGCACATGGATCCTCCCCTCCACCGGGGCCAAGCAGAAGGCGGATGAGCAGAGCCCTGGCTCTGAGAGGAACCAGCCAGAGCTCATCCCACCCTTCCTCCTCTCCCATCCAGTGAGCTTAAGTTGATTGCTGCTAGCAAACCATGCAGTGGTGAAGGGAGATAACCGCACATGACTGTAATGTTTAAAATTACAGCTAAGTCCCGTTAAAAGAGTTTAATCCATCTGTTTAAATACATGACCATTATGATTGTTTTCAACTGATCTTAAAAGTAATTGGGTCTGTTTAAAGGTTAAATTGAAACTCTTGTTTAAAATGTATATGTGTGCCTATGTGTTTATAAGGTTTATGAACGAATATGTTTAAAACGCAACAATATAGGTTGCCACATGGTATGACTCCGCCATCTTTAAATCACCGCATGAAATGTAATGTGACCTGTGACCGCCATCTTGGTAGCCACATGTTTCCTTTTAGATTAAAAGGATGAGTTATTTTAAATTGGTATTGGAATTAAATTGTTTGCACTGGTAGATTCTCATTTTAAAATCTGGTTTTGATCTTTAAAATTATGGTTATGCTTTGTGACTTCTCTCCTACAAAAGGGGTACTTTATTTTGATATTGCAAAAACAGGTTTTAAAAAAATGTTAAAATGTTTAAGGCTATAAAATGTTTAAAGTTTATCAGGCATTTGGGTATGACAATGATCTTGGGTAGTCAAACAGAAAATTTGAAAGTTTCTCAATCCTTTAGGAGAGAACAAAAAAACTTTGGTATTTATTTTATTAATTTTATTAAATGAAACCAAGCCATATGGTTTGAGCTAATTGAGAAAGTTGCAATTTTTACTGTGTATCTTGTGGAGAGCTGTTTGCTTGTTAAGCTGCTTTGTTTATGGAAAAACATGTTACCACCCTGGTCTTCACCTTGAGAGAGAAAAGAGGAAGTTTTACCAAGTTCCTTAAAGCTTGTTCTAAGTTCCTTAGAGTTTGTTTAGGTGACCTTGGACCATATCTGCTACAGGGAAGTAATTTTAGAAAAAGAGTTTAGCAGTTTCAGAACTTCTTTTTTGTATTAATGTAACTTGTTTTTGCTTTGCCTATAAAAAACAAATCGTGGATGCTGGATCATGTCAGGATGGAAAGGATTTTGGTGAGATTTTTTATGTTGTCTGAAAAGCAAGCAAGAGCAAGAGATATTTAAAGTAAGAATGTCTGGTTAAGCCAGAAAAAGGAAGCTAGGAACCTGAAGGTATATAGAATGTTGCAGAAGGTTAGTGGATGTATTATAAAAAGCCAGAGAGTTAATATGATTTGAGAAAGAACTGTATTTAAAAATATGTTGTACTTCATTTAAAAGGCTGGTGATTCTTCATTGCAAAATGTTTTCTTATGCTCTTTTAAGGGGAAAGAATTATGGCTGATAGGTTTGGTGTGGCCAGAATAGTTTGTACAGTTTAATATTGTTCTGTACTATTCTGTTATGCAGTTGGTTCTAAAATTTATTTGATCACAATGTTAGGACATTTGGTTATGGGAGGTAACAATGCCATCAGCAACACCTAATGGTTATGTTTGGTATTGTCAGTCACAGCCTGTGCTAACACATGGCTAGCCGCCATGATGGTTCAGGGATAGAGGGTGGAGCTGTAGTTTTGCTGCCATATTTGTTTAGGTCTTCCAGCTGAGTTCAGTTACACTTGGCCAGCCTCCATGCTGGTCCAGAGATACAGAGAGTGGAGCCATGAGTTTGCGAACATCTTTGTGTAGGTTATGTTCAGTTATGTTCAGGCTGCTGATTAGTGCTAAGTGCAAACCTTTTTACTCTTCAATTTTAATGCAAAGTGGTAGGACCAGCAAGATTTGCTAGCCTTTCTATAAACTGTATCTGATTAAAAGGTTTGCTTTAATTTTAGTTCAGAAAGAGCAGATTTAAAGTTATGCCAACAACTGCATTTGGTTAAGATGTTGAGCTATACCTGGTGTCTTTGTTTAGGTTTTTTTTTTTTTAAGGTTAAGCCTAGGACGGTTAACTATAAAGTTGCCTTTGTAAATCTACTTAAAATATAGTTCTAAAACATGCATCTTAGAAAAATGTCAGAATTAGAGAGTATAGCATTCTGTTCTATAGGATACAGTTTAGAGCAGATGATAAAGATAAACAAAGAGTAACTCAGACATGCTGGCCCTCAAGCTTGTCAGAGATCTGATGAATGTGGCATTTTAACATGTGTAAGCTTATTGTGACAGAAAATCCCAAAATCCTGGCAGTAGCTCCCCAAGGTCTCCGAGAATATTTGGGTACGACAGATGATGGTGACCCCGACGTGGTATGCTAACCACTGGGCAATACTGCCTCAACTGGCCCACTGCTAGGGCCCAGCCTAAACTGTGGACAAAGCCGTGGACACCAGGAGAGCCATTGCTTCACATTGCAAGAGGCAAGGTGAGGTCAATCGCTCATGTTCCTCTTTCCACAGAAGCAGTCTCTCATCTGTGCCTAGCTGGACCACCTCTGCTCATGATGTCATAAGACCACAGGAGCCAGGGACACTGCCTAGGTGATGGACTACCTAGTCATCTCTGTCATTTTGATTGGCACATGGATTAGTATATTTATTTATCTTATAATTTATCCTTCTCAGGTCTCTGATCACTTTGACGGCTAGGCTAAGCTTATGGTAGCTTTACAGCTAAAGAGCAGACAATTAGATCCACTGTTAGCTCATTGATCAGTTCATTAGCTAGTTAGAACTGCTAAGTACTAGATCTCTTATTTTAAAAAACAGGTTTGCCTTGCTCACAGGATTCATGTTAGTTGCCTGTGTCTTAAGATAAATAAATGGATTAAAAATGGGAGCTACTTTAGATTTCTACCGCCTCTTTGCTACTGTTGTGCTTATAAGATTTCAGAAGTTCAGAGTTTTGGCATTGATCAATAGAGTTCTGATAAGTTGATGGAGCACTGACTGCTTATTATTCAGTCACCAACTTGAGATTTTAATTTCCTTTGGTTGTCTTCTGGAGATAGACTTAAAGGTGCTTCTCGACATGTTGAAAACATTTGTTTAATGTGTATATCAGACCCAAAAGTCATAGCTTTTACTATGGTATTCTTAGTATCTGCCATTTCTGGGGTAGACTTTGACACAGGAATATCTTAAACATATTCCTTCTAGTTGCTTTGTTAAGGAAAGTCCAAGCATCCAGGGTTTAGCACTAAAGCCATTTATGTATTTCTGCCTAACTTTCCAATGTGACATGGAAGTGGGGGCTAAAAGTAGATGCTGAGTGTACGAAAAGTGGCCAAGCTCCATTGATGGCTGATTACCAACAGCTGTGCCCACAGAAAAAGTGTTAAGAGTTCCAGACCATGGATGCACTTAAGTTGTGGTATGTGGTAAGTTGTAGTATAAAAGGTTACAAAACAAACAGCTAACTTATGCTCGTTCCATTGGATGTAGTTTTACCTGTTACTCTTAGAATGTTGTTATATTAGATTTGCTGATGTTACTCTTTTGAGTTTTTTAAAAAATACATATTTCCTTTTGTGTACAAAAATTTCATGCGTTTCAGGAAATTAAAAGGTTATGAGACCTGGATCTGGCATAGCTCAAACGGATCCCAGATGAGTTTTTCCCTGGTCTTGGGATTCCTCACTTTTCCCATTTAATAGACAGATGTTAACTTCTGTCTCTAGTCTGAATTTATCTCAGCATATTTTCACCTGTTGACTCTGTTCCGGGATCAGCTTTGGACTGCAAGCTGAAATCTGGACTTCCTGGAAACTGACATGATTGCTCCCTACCTCTTCTGGTGGATCAACTAACCAGATGCTTGTGACTGCCCCACTGCCCAGCCCTTTTTTGACTGGCATTTCAGCCTCCCTAACCCCTGATGCCAGCGGTCCATTGTGAGCTCTGAAGAAGCTCCAGAAGACGGATCTTCAGCCCAAAATCCCACCTAGCAGGCTGAAATGCTAAGTCAAAAGGGGCTCCCTGGCATTAGCTATTATCTTGGGCATCTGCTTAGCTGAAATGGAAACTAGTATTGCAGCAACTGGACTAAAAACCTGGAGAGACACTAGAGACAAAGGATAATCTCTTTGGCTTACTACTCCTATATCCACCCTGAAAGGACCCCTACTCATTTTGATTTTTGTCTTTGAGCCTTGTATTTTAAATTGTTTGATGGCTTTCATGAAAAAAATGTTTGGGAGCAATTCACTAATGGTGCTTAGATCCCATTGTAAAAAAGGTAAACAAGGGGTCATACCTGGAAGACCCAAGATTGGGTCTTCAAATGATCATGGGAAGGGGGAAATGAGAGACCAAAAGATTAAAAATCAGCCATTACTAAAGTTTAAGGCCTAAACTAGCTGGGTGAGATCCAGTAATGCCCTGAGGGGAAGAACCTGCCATACTGCATTCTTTCCCACCCACTAGAGATATAGTTGCTAGGAAACTGGCCCATCCCCCTAAGGAGGGACACCAGATCATTAATGGTTTGGAGACCTTCCTATAGCCAATCAATTCAGAATGTAGCATTTTGACCAATAGATGCTTGCCAGGCAGGAATTGCCCCTGCCTTGGGCATGCTGGGAGGGACCAGAATCTTTAAATCCCCCAGCTAACCTGTGCACAGGGCTCTCGGCTCTCACTGCTTCTGCGGTGGGGGGTGTGAGCCCGAGCTGCAGCTTGTAATTTGTAATAAAAAGATCCTCATGTGGTTTACAATGGAAAGAAAAAAGAAAACATATTCAACAAATACTCAAGTTCTAGTCTTCTAGAGAACCATGCCTAATACACTGCCTAAGTAGTTATTACTGTTTAGGGAATAAAAGTAAGAAAAAAATGTCTGTGTTCTGTGGACATGCAATATTTATTTATTCATTCATTCATCCATTCACTCATTCATTTGTATTTTTTGAGCTGTGATCTCACTACAGCTCAGACCTGACTCAGCCTCCAGCATTCTGGGGTCATAAGTATACATCCTCACGGCTGGGGCCATTGGTATACATCCTGTGGCTGGCTCAGGTGCAGTCTTGTTTCTCCCCATCCATGATTGGTTGAATCTGTGAATACAGAGGTTGAGTACATTTGCAAACAGTGTGACAGCTGACACAGTATCATGTCACTACCTTCGAGTTTCCAGTTTTTTCCACTGTTACAAATGTCAGGACTGTTAGGAGAAGTTTGTTCTTCTTGAACCCGAGAAAAGACTGAACCACTGTGTCTGCAGTGGCAGTCCAGCCTCCAAAGCTTATACCTGAGTCTGTTTGCAGCATCCCCTTCTTTCTTTCTTCAACCTTTTTTCTTACCCACTGCCCCATCTCATTCTCATAGTTTGTACATCTTATGCATCTATACCTTTTCCATGTTTTTTCTTCCATCTAAAATACCCTTCCTCCTTTCTTTGCCTGATTTTCAGCCCCTTAAGACACAGTTTAGGTACCATTTCTTCCAAGGAACCTTCTTTTACTCTCTAAGCTTAGCTAAGTACTACTTGATGCCTTTTCCCATAAAAATGCCGTATTTCTGTTTTTCCTTTTAGTGTATAGTATTGATAGAATCCCTACTTTATTGAGTGCTTCTCTTAGGCAAAAACTTGTCATTGTTTCTGTAAGCCCCCACCATCCTTACATTTCTTTTTGTAAAGTAGCTTATATTTTGTTTTTGAAATCAGTCCATTTTGAAGTCTATTACTGTCACTTGGCAAGGTACATGCTTTACCACTGAGCTGTACTGCAAGCCCCTGAAGCTGCCATTTATTTAAAAACAAGTGGGAGAGGATTACCCTCTATTATTCAAAGCAAGGTGGATTTTTTAAATCCAGCTCAGAAGCTAGGATCACAGGCTGCTCTTCAAATGGTCCTGAGTTCGATTCCCAGCAACCACATGGTGGCTCACAACTATCTATAATTGAGATCTGGTGCCCTCTTCCGACGAGCAAGCATATACGCAAGGCAGAATACTGTATATATAATAAATAAATCTTTTTTAAAAAGGGAAAAAAATCCAGTAATCCATATCATGCTTTGACAGTTGTTTCAATTAATATCTAACAACAATCATATTACTTTTTCTGTTAAGCATAATGAATATGTTGACGTGAGGGGGGTTATTTTTTGTGTTTTGCTAATGATCATGGCAAAGTATAAAATCATGTCAACCTAGAAATTATTAAAACTGCTACTTTTTTACAGACAAAACTTCAAATGAGGAAATAAAATTCATCAAAAATGTGTAACATTACCAAACACTGTTGAATGTGTTTGCAGGGGTCTATGCTTGCTTTTGAGTTAAGTAATGCATGTTTGTACCACGAGGTGGCAGTAGGAGTTAACCATTTCAGAGACTTTATTTCAAGAGAAGGGTAGCCATTTAAATGCCTAGACTAAGCTGTGCCACCCGGATATGCTTATGTAAATGAAGATAAAGTACATGTGTGTTTGAAGGTATAAAAACATGAAATCTCTTTCACAAACTTTGCAAAATATTTTTTGTATAATAGTGCCTCCCTATTAACCCTTTCTGGCTAACCTTTACCCACACTTTTCTCCTGAGTCTTTTTACCTGTATTTTCTTGTGCTGCTAAGAAACCATACGCATTGAGGGGTTTCAGCATAAGGGTACAATTAGTTAATTCTTTTTGTTTGGTTGGTTTTTGAGACAGGGTTTCTCTGTGTAGCTTTGACTGTCCTGGACTCACTTTATAGACCAGACTGGCCTGGAACTCACAGAGATCCACCTTTCTCTGCCTCCCAGATTGCTGGGATTACAGATGTGTGCCACCGAGCTGGCTTTAGCTAATTCTTTTATAAACCTTTTGAATGCTTGTTCGTAAGATACACCCTGTCGGGAGCTTTTGGGCTATCACAAACAAGGCTAGTGTTCTCACTTAAATCCCCTATATACTGTGATAAATTTATATTCTGTCAAAACTATTAATATTCGAGTTATAAGGAAGAATTTTTATAAGTAATACAAATTTCACAAGTATCCTCAGGAATGTATTCACAAAAGCCACTGAAGGTAGAAGCAGCTGCCATTTTATTCCTTTATTTTCCACAGGCTAAAGATCGAATTCAGTATTACCAACTGGATGAAGTCTTCATTTTCCCATATGATATGGGAAGTAAGTGGAAGAACTTCAAACAGGTATTTACATGGTCAGGAGTCCCTGAAGGAGACGGACTGGAATGGCCAGTGAGAGAGGGCTGTCACCAGTACAGTCTAACGGTGAGTAGTTCTATTTCAAGGCCTTCCTCTTACCTGTGGTCACTTTGTTAGCTTCCTTGACATCCTGAGACTTGATGGTCACACAGGAGTGCATATGCTTTCCGAGTGTCAGAATGAGTCCAAAAGCCATAGAAATTGTCAGCATAATTACCTTCCTGTATTTAACAGCCTCCTGAACATTCCAGACAGGCTGGATTCCAGATATTCCCGATTCTGTAACTCAGCTTCATAAAATCTGATCTTTAACGACCTTTCACCGCCTTCTGTCTTATAATGCCACTTGAACGCCTTGCTCATCCCCAGCACTCAACTCTGCCCCTCAGTTGTCCCTTAAAGCTGTGGTCGAGCTTACCCAGTCTAGTTCTTGCCTCACAGGACATAGTCACATGCCACAGTCTTGTAGCTTACGAAATCTCATTTCATTGATTTCTCTTTACTTGATTCTAGGACAGTATTTCCCTGTGTTTAATACAATTCTATTAGTAGTTGCTGACTACTAATAGAATTACAACTAAAGTTGTAAGAATTCTTTAGTTTGAGACTCATTGATAATGAGTTTTCTGTGTGTTAGAAAACCACTGAGACTCAGCCTAACAGCTGTGAGGTTAACAGAGACTAGACATGTGCCATGTTTGCCTGGAGGGAGGCAAAGACTTCAGGGAGCAGATTCTGAGAACCGTGGATAGAGGTGCCTTAGATACCCCACTGGGAGGGAAGAGGCTGCTCAACACTGAGACAGAGTACTTAAAGGTTTTCATTTTATGTCTTCCAAACAGGTAGAACAGTTGAAACAAAAAGCAGACAAGAGAGTCCGAAGTGTAAGTGGCATATTTGCAATGCTGCTGATTCCAGTTTTCTCCAGTTAGCCCCTGTGTTTCTGTACAGCTTAACAGTTGGCTTTTATTAATTAATACCTCTTATTATATTTATTATTTATATTGTACTTGCATATGCAGCACAGGGAGTTGGGTGGGAATCTCCTTCAACCAAGGGGATCAATATTTCCTTCTATTTTTTGAAATATGATGCAATTTGCCTGTTTTGAGGCTGTCTCACTGTGTATCCCTGACTAGTCTCAAACTCAGATCCACCTTTCACTGCCTCTAGATGGGTGGGACCAAAGACATGTGGCACAATGCCCAGCTCTTGAATTTGTTGAATTTGTTTTCTTTGAAATACTTTATTTTAGCTGGAGGTTTCCAAAACATTTAGTCAGTGTATTTTGCCTACCTAGAAAAATATCTCTAGTACAGCTGATTGAACCACTTTCACCACCATACTGTCCATAGTGACAATGCCACATGTGGCCGAAGGAAGTCTAAATTTAAAATAAATACAAGAAATCTTAAGTTCCAGTTTGTACTGGCCACACTGTAGCACTTTGTAGCTGCAAATGCGTAGTTAGCAACCCAATTCAAGACCACAGATAGAAACATGCAGATACTTCCGTCATCACAGAAAGTTCTCCTGCACACAGAGATCATATTCATAGCAAGTATGTGCTTGAAACGAAGGATCAGAGAAGCCTGAGAACAAGAAATATCGTTCCTCCTGGGAAATTGGGGAACTTGTTTTATCACTGGGTAGTTTGGATCCAACCTTAGAATCATCTGTTCAAGCTTGAAAAAACTCAGTTACGGTAAATACTGAGCTTGTTCTTGTGACCACTGTTGGCAGGTTCGCTATAAAGTCATACAGGATTACAGTGGTGCCTGCTGCCCTCTGAATAGAGGAGTCAGAACCTTCCTCACAAGCCCCTGCACGGAGGAGCCTCGGATCCAGCTGCAGAGAGGGGAGCTTATCTTAGCCACCAGAGGCTTACGGTGAGAGGTGGGAATGTTGTATTTGTTCAGTAGGAAGAGTGGCACTAACTTCAAATATATATAATTTAATCTTTTAAATATTTCAGATACTGGTTGTATGGAGACAAAATTCTTGATGATTCCTTCATAGAAGGTATGGAAGTGTAAGAGTGTGTTTAAAGTATGTGAATGTTAACAATGGCTCCAAATTTTGTAAGAATAACTTCTATGCTTAATTACATGTAAAACACTTTCCATCTCGTTTCTATTTTTACTCATTCCCTCCCTTCCCATTCCCTCTCATTTTCCGACTTACTGACATTGTAAATCGAGAAGTTACATTTTCCCATTTCAGACCCCCAGTGCTACGGACTCAGGCCGATTAGTCACAGTAGCTAAGGAACAAACTAGCCTATATGTCCACTAACAGATGAAGGTAGAGAAAATACAACACATGCACACTGGAATTTTATTCATCTGTACAGAAATGTGAAGTGCTATTTCCAAGAAAATGACGCAGCTGACGTTCATTATGCATAATGAAGATTCTAGAGGATGGGCTATGTTCAAGCTAAAAGGGAAAAATTTTTTTTTTTTAAAGAGAGGTGACTGGATACAGATATGTATGACATGAAAACAAAAGGGTTATTAGGAAGGCAGCAATAGTGGGGATTAGGAAAGTGAAGGAGGGGTAGAAGAAAAGAAGCATTAAGAGTAAAGCCTATAAAGTTATGAAGAAATTCTTTACTTTGTTATGCTAATTTGAAAAATTAGATAAATCCTGATAAATGGCTTAGGAACTGCCCTTTAGTTATCAGTAAAAACTGAAGCGCAGTGATGCTAAGCAAAAACAGCTTGTTCACAGCCCACACAGCAAATAGGGAGAGACTGACTCAGAGCTGAGGAATCAGGCCCTAGAAACCTATGTCATAGTCACATGCCCTTTAAAGGAACATTCCTCTGAAAGCTAAGGCTAAAATTTGATTGTTAGAATAACTCCTTTTTTAAGTAAAGATCAACCTAGGATGTTCTTAAAGAAAAAAAAAAAAA